CTGCTGGCCTCTCACCCCACAACCCTGCCCAGAGCAGGGAGAGAACATAGTGGGCAAAATACTACCTTGCCCTGTCTACATGAGGTGGTGAACTATGAGGCCTAAATTTGCCTACAAGCGCATCCTCAGATCAACGTGTACTCCTGCATCCAAGCAACAAAAATGCTTTCTGTTCCAAATCTAAACCGCTCCAATCTCCATTTCCATTTCAGCCTTGCCAATGTAAGAGCAAGTCAAACTTTCATGCTCAATTACCCGAGCCCTGGGAAACTGCACCTCAGTCCTCTTTCTGGGCTACATCCCAAGAAAGCTACCATTACACACCCAGGGTGTGGTGGTGAGAAAGGAAATAACCAAATTAGAGGTGAAGGAAACAGGAGATTTGCACACCACTATTAAATAAAACTACCTTAACCATAATCGATACATACGAAAAAATCAATTTGTAGGGGGAAAAAATCAAGACTCATTTTGCATTTAAAAGTGATTTATTAAACAAAGGAAGTATTATTGTAGTTAGCGAAGTGAACTGCTTGTTTCTGGCCACCATGTCCTTCAAGATTTCAGAACTGGTAGATTTCATCCGCTCACACCTACTTTTTATTCATGGATTGGATTAGAAAAAACAAGCTTTTCTGCTTTCTCAACTCTCAATTGGATTTAACTAGTTGAATAAACTGGACTGAAGAAAACGTTCTCTCTGTACCAGCAAAGGGGGTTACTGCTGTCAAAAGCTGGCACACTCAACCTCTTCCAACAGTTCAGTGTTTTGACTTTCTTTAAAATATGGCAACAAACATGTACTCCTTGATATTATTTTCTGAATTTAATTGAAATGATTTTAATAGATTATAATAATTTTTGGACTTAACATAAGTTAATTTCAAACTTAGTTTTAAATAGGTTAAGTAAACCTGCATTTAGTTAAGATTAAATAAAAAATTGATTTTTTTAAAATCAATTTATCCACTCTGCAATCACACAAGCAACTATGATTTATTTACCATCCTACCCACAAGTGGGAGTAATGATGATCTACTTCACATCACACATAAGGTAAATAAGGTAACTGGGACACAGAATTTCAGTCATTTGACAAAAGCCAGAGAGTCAAAATATCCTAGCTCTTAGACTTCCGCTCCAACCTGTGGACCATGTAGCCTCTTTGTTAGAGTAAGTGAGCTTGGTTCTATTCCCATCTCTGCTGTGCAAGCTTGGGCAAAACACTTAACCTCTGTGTACTTCAGCCTTCCCATGTGTACAGGGACAAGTTATCTGTCTCTCTGTGGGGAAGCTAGTCTGTGTGTTAACATGCTTTGAGATCCTTGGGCAAATAGTGCTAGGAGGGTACGCCAAGGATTATTTTCTGTTTGGTCCTTCATTTATTAAAGGAAGGCCTCCTTGGAATTACAAAGATATATATCACATGTGGTTAGTACGTTTCTAATTTGCCTTACAACTACTCCAGTGCTGAACACCTACTTAATCGGTGTAGTAATTACTATGAAATAACTCACCAGCGCCAGTCATTTCCTGTTGCAACTCATTCTAGAAGCTGGCCAATTTCACTGTGCATTAAACCAGATAGAATAGATAAGCATAGTTTACTGCTCAGGAATGCTGAGAAAAAAATTGGCAAGAGGTTACAAGGAAGGTACATGAATTAACTACTGACCAACAGCATTAAAAAAAAAAAAAAAAAAGGACCAGAGAAGGATACACTGAAGGATCAAGTTAAGCTCCATGCTTAAGAGATTTAGGGACAGTGGAAAACAGGAAGGGCCGAAACATAAGCTCCTTACTTGGATTGCTCAGGTTATGTCTACACTTAAACAAAGAGTGGCACAGCTGCGTCACTGTAGTGCTTCAGTGTACACATTCACTATAGTGACAGGAGGGATCCTCCAGTTGCTGTAGTTCAGTGGTTCCCAAACTGGGGTTCACGAAATGTTACAGGGGGTTCTCTGGAAAAAATTCCCTAATGGTGGACAGAGCTGTCCCTAGGGACCCCGGGCAGCACGGGGCCAGCAGCCTGGAGCCACTGGACTTCTGAGAGCTACGCATTTCAAAGCAAGCAGATCTATTACACTGAGGAGATTTAAACTCCTTATAAGAAATGGAAAGGGAGGTGGATATTTTTTGCTGTTTTTAAAATTAATTAGGCAGCTACTATTGTTTTTAAAATTATTATGAAGAACAAGTTTAAGCTTTGTTGTAACGTGCGTTGTTTGCCTGGACTGCTCAAGACCTGAATGCTTGTGTAGGAGGAACTCTTTGAGTTGGCGTCTTAAATACCTTCATGCTGTTTCACATCTGATACTCCTTGATGAAACATAGGAGCCTTGTCTCATAACAGGCTTATTCAAAATGATACATGCTACGAAAATGAGATCTTGGAAGAGTGTTGCTGTTTTCATAATGTAATAAAATTACTGTAATGATAAATAATAATTAATAAATAGTGTGTAATAAGCATATCATAAAAACAAATGTTATATGTCCAAGATCACCGCTTTTATGAATTATACTCATGTAGAGAAGAATATCCCTGGAAATATTCATTTTAGGAGGGGGTTCGCAAGACTTGACATTTTAGTGAAAGGGGTTCACAGATTGTTAAAGTTTGGGAATCACTGCTGTAGTTAATCCACCTCCCCGAGAAGCGGTAGCTATGTCAACAGAAGAATTCTTCTAGCACGCTCCACATTGTGGGGTTAGGTTGGTTTAACTACGTGGCTCAAGGGTGTGTATTTTTTACCCCGAGCGACATAGCTGGGTTGACTGCACTTTTTCAGTGGCATATGCTGAAACAGTAAAAAATGTTGATTTTGCACAGAGACAGAAGATTCCATAGCTTGGTAACTGTTCTCAGACGTTTAGCAAAAGCAACTGCCAAGGACAGGTTAACCTCACCATTGTTCATGATGCATGAACAGTTCCTGTGCGCAGCTTGGTCATCTCACGGAATGTCACTAAGCAAGTTCTAGAGCTCAGAGAATGCAAAGCAGCTGGCTTCCAGCATGCAGAATAGGGAACTCACCAATACTCACACATGGCCTTTGTCTGCCAGATTTAAATAGAAGGGTTAGAAGTAATAGGGGGAGGTGCACTCAGGGAAGGAAAGCTGGATCAATAGCTCTTTTCCAAGATTGCTTGAGAGGAATGGTAACAAGGGTACCATTACAAGGGATCCCGGGTATACGTTGGGGTTGTGTTCCTGAAAAGGGCGACGGATACTGAAACGACAGATACCAGGGAATTTTTCCCCATAAGAAATAATGGCCCACCCCGCCGCTTCCTGCCCCCCTAATCCCCCCGCCCTGCCTTGTTCCACCCCCTCCTCCGAGCACGCCCCATCCCCACTCCTTCCCCTCCCTCCCAGCGCCTCCTGAACACCGGGGGGAGCACCCAAAGAAAAGCCACACAAAAGATGAAGCGATGGATATGCGGATCGGAACCGATACAAATTGGAACACGTTCCCCTATTGATGAGCGATGGATAGGTGAAACGACAGATAAGGGGGAGACATATACAAGGGACCCCCCCATACTGGGTAAAATGATTGTCATTAAGATACCTATCCAATACACATTCCATAGTTACCTCTGCAGGAACAATGGATAATTAAAAACAATTAATATGAACACTGTGATTTTCGGCACATCATTTCACAAACATCACTTCATTGTACAGCAATCAAATTCTAGGTCTATAAGACTACTGTAGAGAGATTAGTTATACAAGAGTTAAGTCGTTTACATGATGGCTGGACCTGAATGAGTGTTTCTAACTAACACCTGGCATTCTGCCTTCAACCTATTGTTTGGATTTAATGAGAACTACTTCTACTCCAAAACCTTCAGATTGAGCAATACAAGTATTATGTTGGTAGTCTGGAGAATTAAAAACAGGTGGCTAAGTGGTTTTTCAAAAATACCAAGAGTTCAAAATATTCAATAGCCAATTGTCTTAAAAGAAAACCCTCAACTGTCTCAAAGAGATACTGCTGCCTTAGAATCTAGTCCATTTTTTAAAAATGTGGAATCTAAAGTAGTGTTCCCCCCCCCAACGGTTTTTACAAACATGTTTTTTGTTTTCCTCCTTTGTTGCTATGTGAAAGACTCAAACAGACCGATTATACAGCAAAACAGACCAAAGTACTGTGAACTTCAAAAGCAAACAAACTGAAAACAGAGAAACATACATTTTCCTGTAAACCCTTTCAGATGGGATAATCTACCCTGCTCATTCTAACAATAAAACATTTTCAAACAGAAGCATGATTTTTAAATAGAAAGTCTCTTTCCAGCCGGTGTATAGTCTAGATACAAAGTGGTAAGCTAGCTAACTACCCGAATCCAGTAAAAGATGCTCTGATATGATGCAGCAGGTCAAAACAACAGTAACTCTGTCAAACATAAACCAATCTGATTTAGTAATAAATTATGTTGTAAACTAGTGCAACAGACTCACTGACTAATACACACACTACACATTGTACAAAAAACACACCATTCCTGTCTCCTGTGTTCAGTTTCACTGACAAATATAGAGAATAATCTTTTATGACCAAATGATTACAAATGCCGTTTTATTTCTGAATCTTGGATAAGGAAGTTTTCAGATGCTATAAGTTAGTCCCCCGTGACGCTTCCCACTCCCCGCTCCCCACCCCTGTCTTTTATAAAGTTTGCTGCATTGATTCTGAAGGTTTATTCTGTTTCATACAAGAACTCAGAGCCAAGAAGTGTACTTATGTGACACTGATTTAAATTAAAATGCTATATGAGAATTTGTGGAAGATCAAGATGGCCAAAGTGTGTTTTTAAAAGGAATTCTTACTACGCTTGTTCATATTCCCATTAGGGTTTCACCTTGTTTCCACTCATCTGTATATTCTACTGGGGTGCATTATTGTTCTACCTCTACATCCTGCTTTCTGAACAAAACTTAAATGCACAGTAAAAAAAATAAACTCAAAAATGTGAGCACTCCGTACCTGCAAATGCCAGAGACCTGCGAATGGGAAGGAGGCTGGATGGAATGGAATACAATTTGAGGTCTGGGAATCCGAGTTCTGGCAAACCCAGAACCAGGCTTTCCAAGTTTATCCATGGTCTTGGTTACAAGAGGAATCAATGTTTGCTTTCTTTCAGCAGCAGCAGTCCATCCTGTGTGCCTTTGACAGTCACAGAGCAAGGGAGTTGCTGTTATTCCTTGTGTTACATCTGCAGCTGATTGCAAAGAAAGCAAAACCACAGCACCACCTACTCATGCTGCAGAAACTCTGCTAATTGGATGGTAATTCCCTCCTCCTCTTCTCATCCACCCCGCCAGACTGATGTAATAAAATCATGGTAAACATACCTGTGACTTTAAATATACAGCTATGCAGCCTGTTCAAGAGCTATAATCATCTGTCCTGGCTGGGAATGCAATACATACCTGAAGGACATAGTGAAACCAGCTTCTAGCATTTGAAAATTGTGTTGCTATGCATTTAGATCTAGAGAAATTGTTCGCTCTACCATTTTCCACATAACTGATGCAAATCAGACAGGGAACATGCCCAAACCAGGGCTGGTTAAACGATAACTAAAATCTCAACTATGTGAAAAGTAACTCCCATGAGTGGCATAAGTAGCAGTGAACAATCAATCCACTTGAACTGTACCAAGGGTCCTCACGGACTGGGATACGTTAGCCTTTCAGTAACCCCAATGAGAATGTCATCTGACCTCTGGTAGATATAATGCATTAACAAGTGCACAAATTGAAGCCCAAGAACTCTTGGAGAAGAGGGGAAAGACAGTTATATGGCTGTTCCAAGCTTTGGTATCATGTTCTGAACCTATTTCTTGATGAGTTAGGAGTGTAAAAAGCAGTATTAACTGGATGACAGTAGTATCAACAACATGCAACCAAACATATGGCAAGATGCAAATCCCAGGCCCTAAAACTCATTTAAGACAAGCAATATATGACAGGAGAGGGGGAAAGGATAAAGCAGTCATATTCCCTCATCAGCTTTCTTCTTTCCACCTTCCATCCTCAATTGTTCTGAGATTTTTCCTGTCTGATTTTCAGTGTTTGTTTTCCGCTGCAAATCTTATAGAAAAATAAAATCACATTTGAAATTTACTCAGTGAAGCCATGTGAGGCTTGTCAAATACTAACAGATCTTCCCAATGTTCCTAGCACTAATGGTTCTATGGGTCATTCTCCTTATTATTGGGTCAAGAGAAGGGGCACCACCAATTGAATTTCCTCAGAAGGACTCAATATTTAAAGTAAGAGTATGTTAAGGAATCTCATTTGTGGATTTCTTCTACTTATTAACACAGCCACTATTCCAACCTGTGTACTAGTAACTATAGACCCTACGTGGGTGATTCCTAACCACTGGAACTGCATAAATTTAGATCTAGCGGCCAGCCTGCTCTAGTTGATTCACTGTAGACAAACGTGGCCCATGGTAGCAAAATGTGGCACTCTACCCACATTGCCGTCCCTCCGCAGGGCTAACTTAGAAACTGAGTGAGGCATGGGGCTATGTGCAGATTCCCTGCACCTGGGTGAATTTCACCACAACCCAACTGTAGAATTCAGTAAGTCTCTCGCTTGGGCATTAATACTAGCTAGGAGGGGAACATTTCCAGTTTTCATAAAAGTATAAAAATTACCCTCTCTTCTGTCCTGTTGAAGAATTTGTCCTTTTGAAATTCTTGGAGCTTGACAGAATGAATGTTAATTGTTGATTAGACAATTTTTGCTCATAAAAATAAAATAACTGAGCCCAAACCTGGAGCGCTCTCATATCTGCAATACATGCTGAGAGACATCAACTTTCTTGTTCAATTAGAGCCTGATCCAATGCCCAGTGAAGTTCCCTATTTCTACGATATGATGGGGGCTAATTTAGCTACAACAAGTCAGGGAAAAGATCTTGAAGTCATCGTGGATAGTTCTCTGAAGCTGTCCCCGCAGTGTGCAGAGGCGGTCAAAAAAGCAAACAGGATGTTAGGGATCATTAAAAAGGGGACAGAGAATAAGACTGAGAATATATTATTGCCCTTATATAAATCGATGGTACGACCACATCTTGAATACTGCATACAGATGTGGTCTCCTCATCTCAAAAAAGATATACTGGCACTAGAAAAGGTTCAGAAAAGGGCAACTAAAATGATTAGGGGTTTGGAATGGGTCCCATATGAGGAGAGATTAAAGAGGCTAGGACTCTTCAGCTTGGAAAAGAGGAGACTAAGGGGGGATATGATAGAGGTATATAAAATCATGAGTGATGTGGAGAAAGTGGATAAGGAAAAGTTATTTACTTATTCCCATAATACAAGAACTAGAGGTCACCAAATGAAAGTAATAGGCAGCAGGTTTAAAACAAATACAAGGAAGTTCTTCTTCACGCAGTGCACAGTCAACTTGTGGAACTCCTTACCTGAGGAGGTTGTGAAGGCTGGGACTATAACAGCGTTTAAAAGAGAACTGGATAAATTCATGGTGGTTAAGTCCATTAATGGCTATTAGCCAGGATGGGCAAGGAATGGCGTCCCTAGCCTCTGTTTGTCAGAGGATGGAGATGGATGGCAGGAGAGAGATCACTTGATCATTGCCTGTCAGGTCCACTCCCTCTGGGGCACCTGGCATTGGCCACTGTCGGTAGACAGGATACTGGGCTAGATGGACCTTTGGTCTGACCCGGTACGGCCGTTCTTATGTTCTCTCTGGCTGGTCTATCACAAAAAAAAGTCACCGATTTCTATTTACCAAATGAAGGCTGCACACATTGCATTCTACACAGAGTTCTTTCAGCTTCTTACACCCAAGCACACATCACTCCTCACAGGACTTCCCTCCCAAGCTCTCACAGATTTGTTTCATAACTAAAATAAAAAAAAAATCTATAAGCTTCTATTTTAATTTTGCAGTGATTCCACACTACGAACGGTCAGCTGAAGAGAGGGGAAAGAGTCTTCGGGTATGTCTACACTACGAGGGTAATTCGATTTTACTTAAATCGAATATGTGGAATCGATATTGCAAAGTCGAACGTGTGTGTCCACACTAAGGACACACTAAGGACAGTAATTCGACTTTGTGAGTCCACACTAACGGGGCGAGCGTCGATATTGGAAGCGGTGCACTGTGGGCAGCTATCCCACAGTTCCCGCAGTCCCCGCTGCCCATCGGAATTCTGGGTCGAGCCGCCAATGCCTTCTGGGTAAAAAAAATTTGTCGTCATCCGTCCGTCACTAACGCCCTCCCTCCCTCCATGAAAGCGCCGGCGGGAAATCAGTTCGCGCACTTTTCTGGTCAGTGACAGCGCGGACGCCACAGCACTGCGATCATGGATCACGCTGCGACCATCGCTGCACTTGTGGCCGTTCTCAACACCTCGCAGCTTATCATACACCTTTCCCTGAGGCAGATGCAGAGAAATCGGGCGAGGAGGCTACGGCACCGCCGTGAGAGCCTGAAGTCGGAGAGTGGCACAGAGCTGTCAGAAACCACGAGCCCCAGCGCCCAGGACATGACGTTGGCAATGGGGCATGTGGATTTTGTTGAACGGCGATTCTGGGCCCGGGAAACAAGCACGGACTGGTGGGACCGTATAGTGCTTCAGGTCTGGGATGAATCCCAGTGGCTGCGAAACTTTCGCATGCGGAAGGGGACTTTCCTCGAACTTTGTGAGTTGCTGTCCCCTGCCCTGAAGCGCAAGGACACCCGCATGCGAGCAGCCCTCACTGTCCAGAAGCGAGTGGCCATAGCCCTCTGGAAGCTTGCAACGCCGGACAGCTACCGGTCAGTCGCGAACCACTTTGGTGTGGGCAAATCTACCGTGGGGGTTGTTGTCATGCAAGTAGCCAAGGCAATCGTCAAGGTACTGCTGTCAAAGGTAGTGACCCTGGGAAACGCGCAGGCCATCATAGATGGCTTCGCCGCGATGGGATTCCCAAACTGCGGTGGGGCTATCGATGGGACTCACATCCCTATCCTGGGACCGGACCACCAGGCCAGCCAGTACATCAATAGAAAGGGCTACTTTTCAATGGTGCTGCAAGCACTGGTGGACCATCGGGGACGGTTTACAAACATCTACGTCGGATGGCCGGGCAAGGTTCATGACGCTCGCGTGTTCAGGAACTCTGGTCTGTTTAGACGGCTGCAGGAAGGTATTTACTTCCCAGACCACAAAATAACTCTTGGGGATGTGGAGATGCCTACAGTCATCCTCGGGGACCCAGCCTACCCGCTAATGCCCTGGCTCATGAAGCCCTATACTGGCGCCCTGGACACAGAAAAAGAACTGTTCAACTACCGTCTGAGCAAGTGCAGAATGGTGGTGGAGTGTGCTTTTGGCCGTCTCAAAGGGAGATGGAGAAGCTTACTCACTCGCTGTGATCTCAGTGAAACCAATATCCCCATCGTTATTGCAGCTTGCTGTGTGCTCCACAATCTGTGTGAGAGCAAGGGGGAGACCTTTATGGCGGGGTGGGAGCTAGAGGCAAATAGCCTGGCTGCTGATTACGTCCAGCCAGACAGCCGGGCCATTAGAAGATCCCAGCGGGACGCCCTGTGCATCCGGGAGGCTTTGAAAGCTAGGTTCCTGAGTGAGCAGGGCAACCAGTGACTTTTCAGTTTGTGGACAGAAAAGCTGAACCTGCCCCCGTTTCTTTACCCAGTCCATTTTGACTATCCTCTCCAGTTACATACAACCTTCACCCCCTTCCCCTTCCCAAAAAATAAAATCATTTCGATTTTTTAATGAACACCGTTGTCTGTATTGCTGTTTTCGCGGGAATATTTTAAACCGGGGACGCAGACTGTGGCGGGGGGCGGGTTTAGTGTTCTGATGCAAATGATACTTCTAAACTCCCGGAATGACAGGCTCCGCACTGGTGGACTGGTTATTTCAATGGAGCCTGCCAGCACTCCTGGGGGGGACTGTGTGTATGTGTCGGCTATGTGACTTTCTGGCAGGGGGGGTAGGGTTACAGATCCCCTGCTGCGTGGATCTGTGAGCCAGGATAAGGACCGCTGCATAAGATCTGTAACTGCCCTCCCCCGCCACAAAGTCACAGAGCAACCCCCCCCCCCCAAAACATGAAAAACACCTCCCAGACTGACCAGGGTAACCAGTGACTGCACTGT